GTGGTGTGGGGCAGACATGGACATCCCAGTAGAGTCCATCTGCCGGAAGGGACGTTATTAATCCAAAAGCCTTGTTCTCAGACTGTATCCTTGCTGTTACTTAAGCACCAAATAGATCTGTACTGGATAACTACTTATAGTAAAGATACAAGAACAGATTACATATTTTCACAAAGCTAGAACTTCCTTTCAATACTGTGGTTTATCTGTAATGTAATTGGCATTCTCAAATACGCTCACCCTTGGCCCCATAGCCTCCGGCACCACAGCCGAACTCAGTACCTTCAGAAACTTTGTGTTCTCCACGCTCAGTCATGGCTGATGCCCATCCTATAATACTGCTTTTATCTATGAATAAATGCCTGTGATAAATATGATTTATTTATCAGCCATGGTAAGAGCTCAATAACAACATGTTAAAGTAGGATAATTATGACAATACAGAATGCCAAAAATTATCTAAAGATTACAGGTTGCTTATTACTATAATTTCTTACTTAATCTTCTTCAGTAGATTAGGGCACTCCTATATTTGCAGACTAGGAGCAGAAGAGAAACACACATCAGTGATTTCGTGTAGGATATTCAACAGGGTAAGCTAGCCATGTAAGTGAGGTACTGTTCTTGACTATCCCCATGTGTTCATTCACTTCCCAATCCGAGGAGATGAGTAATACTCTCTGTCTTGTGAGACGAGAGAAACTGAGTCACAGCGAACCGAGTAGCTGCTGAAGTGGTGGAGTGTGACCTGAGAGCTGCACAGTGAAAAAAATCCCTCTGCTCCCCAGCTTGCCTGTTGGCCGTGATGTTTTATCACAGCAGTAGAAACCCCAACTAAGACAGTTTTGTTTTAATCTGTAATGGCATCCCTATAAATTCTAGACTAATCTACTTGCTCAAAAATCTGTGACTCATTTGGTAAAGGAAGTGTTCGGAATAATCCATAGCCCATTGGGGTGTGCAGCCCTGTCTGGTTCCTCGGAGGTGAAGAAATAACCTTCCTGGCTCATTTTCCATTTTCGTTAGAACTAAAGAAATGAATTCTCTTTGTGTGCATTTTGCCCAGTAAAAAAATACTGCTCATTTACTGCTTTTGTAGACAATGACTTCTGAGCATGAGCACACAAACGTGTACACACCGAGAGACAGTAGCCGGAAGCAGAATCCTAAGACCTTGTAGCCGACTCACCTCTCAGCTTCGTGTTCCATGCTCATATTTGTCACTAGTTGTTGCAGAGCACCTTAAAAAAATGCATTTCAGCAGTATACCTTAGAGCAGAGAAAACTCCATTCCTGACTCCTCCCCACACCATTCCCACTCTCCTCCCCCAATAAAAGGGTGTAAAAGGAGGCAAAATGCTACAGCCATCATGAGCTATGCCTCCAGAGGCATAATGACCCAAATTGAAATGCTAGCTCAGCCATTTGGCAGGGTTTTGAATTGGAGCCAGTTCATGTTTACCAGATACTTGTAAACGCAGCACCGTGTACTGTGTTATACTCTGGACATGCAGAGATAGAACAGAGCGACTGAGCTGTGCAAAGCAGGAGAGACTATAAATGCATGAAAATTTCTACCTGCCTATCTCCAGAAAATGACCAATTGTCCCCACCTGTGTGGGTTAGTTGTTTGTCTTGTTGCTTCTTGTCAACTCAGCACAAGCTAGAGCCACCTGGGAAAGGGGGGACTTCAATTGAGGGACTGCTTCCATCAAATTGCCTGTGGGCTTTTTCTTTTTTCTTTCCCTTCCTTCCTTCCTTCCTTCCTTTTATTTTTATGTGATTGGTGTTTTGTTTACAAGTATGTCTGTGAAAAGTCAGAGCCACTGGAACTTGAGTGTTGACAGTTGTGAGCAGCAGCCGTGTGAGTGCTAGGAATTAGGCCAAGGTCTTCTGGAGGAGCATCCAGTGCTCTTAACCACTGAGCCATATTTTAGTGATTGATACGGACAGAACCCATCCTGGGAAGCTGGTCCTGTGTGAAGTAAGAGAACAGGCTGAGCAAGCTATGGGGAGGAAGCCAGGAAGCAGCTTCGCCTTCCTTCCTCCTGGACGCAGAAGTTGAGTTGTCATGGTAGTAAACCAGAAGTTATCAATACAGTTAAACAACTTTGTATCTTCTTATCCTGAGACTGAAAGACTGAACAAGACAGAATATTAGGGACCATTCATACCCAAAAACAGCCTCAAGCTTCTCTGTCCTGGGAGGCTCACAGCAATGAGGATGTGGGGATGTGGGGATTGCAAGTCTGTGTGCTTCTCTGTCAGTCCTGACCAAGCACAGTTCAGAAGACCGAAGAGTGCTCGCTCAAGACATCCTGGGGCAGCCAGAGGCTAAGAGCCTCCTTCTCCACAGTTCTATTTTAGAGCATTTTAAGTGCCTTGTGTTCAGAATCGTTTAAGCTGTGTGTTTGTGGGGTTGAGGGATCAATAGCGGGCAAGCCCATTAGAAAATCTAGTGAAATTGTTTCTCAAAGTCTGATAAAGCAGAAGGCAAGCTGGTAAGAGTCTGCATGGCACTTTCTGGTGAGCTGCAAATACAGAACAAAGAGGACTTGATTCTAATGCAGTCCCCAGTGAGATGGTGTGAAAGTTCACGTTTAAGAACAGACCTGAGCAAACTCAGTATGGGAAAGCTGAGGCGTGCTCAGGTCAGTTGCTGTGTGGAGCTCAGAGCCGGGGAACAACAGCCCGGGAGGAAGGGTGGCTCCTACTCTGTGTGCTTCAGTTCCTTCTTTGCTGACCAGGAGAGGCATCTGAACTGTAGCAGAGGGAGAAGAAGCATTGATTATCCTGACACCTTGGGACCTCAGTATCTTTATGTATAAAATTTGGCATCCGTGCCTCCTAGACCTCCTAAGTAGAAATTACTATGTTAATGTACATGGGTAGTTCTGATTCAAGTGTTATCTCTGTAATGGTTGTGTAATGTGTATCTCATAGATATGCATACTAGTAAATATAACCTGTATTCATAACCTGAAGGCAGTTTTTGCAGTTTTCTTAATCATTCTGCATTAAACTTAATAGATGTAGTTTGTCTGTTAATGTCATTCCAAAAACGGAAAGATTCTATATATTTTATGTATTTAAAACTTAGAAACGTGTAAAATAACATTTTTGAACTTTGATGCCAAAAGGCTTTTGTCTTTATAATTAATTGCATAATGCTACAAATCTCAGCTTCCAAAACCATCTGAAAGACTGTAGCGTCAAATCTTTGCCTGTGGCTAGATTCCAGGCCTACGCAGGCCGTTAGCTTTAAGTTTTGGAAACATTTACCTTTCCCCACTAATGTGTTTATGGATGATAACACAGTTTCCATAACCGCTAAAGATTTAGTTCACCCCATTGCCTTTCTGCTTTCCACCATGAGCATGGCTCTGCCATGTGGCTTTCATACTTGTGGTTGGTGCACTAGCACGTTTTGTCCTGGAAGCACCAGTTGCCACTCGTGATCAGGACAGCCGACTTCATGCGAGCCTCGGGAGACAGAGAGCCATGACCTCATCTTTTTTATCTTGCACCTGGATCACTCTGAGGTAGCAATATCCTTTGCTACTTCAGTTAAGAGATTAGCCACCCCTTTTGTATGACCATCATCGAATTTCTCCTTATTTGGTGTCTCTTTGTACCCCAACCGGCTTGTCTTCAGTAAATATCATAGAAGGTCCACTGAACCAGAGGCCCTGCATCCCGCATGTTACCACTTAGTAATTTTGATTCATTGGCCCCGGCTCTCCTCCCTTGCTGTCAGTCTCCTGTACTGAACCGTGACTTATCTGGAGTAGAATCCAGCTCTGTTCTGGTCTCTTTTTCCCTATTGCACTTCCAACTTGCATCACCGAGACAGTTGTTTATTGCCCAAGTGCTGTATTTTAAAGACACTTTCATTTTGAGTACATGCCTCTGAGATCCTTGAAATTCCCAAGGTGAAAAGAAAAGGATGGCTGTGACTGGTTTCATCTAAAACCTAGAGAACAGTTATTGCAAAGCCCAGAAGGGGAGCTAGCATCTGAATCCACAGAGACCTGGCCCTCCCTGGCACACAGCACCTGAGGTGATGCTTTGCTGGTTAGTGGCCCAGGAGGTGAAGAAGGTTAGAGACCGAGAGCCATGTGCTTCTTTCCTCTAGATACGCTGTGTATTCGGTCATTTGGATGTTTGAGCAGAACTGGGAGGTGAACAGTAGGTATCTTCATACGTCAGTGGCGCTGTCTTGGCTTCTAGGGCAAGTCACAGACAAGAAATTTAGATGATTCAGTTGGTCACACTCTTATAGAAAAGCCAGTCCTGCAATAGGAAAGTGATGGGAGACTGAATGTGACAAGGAGGAAAGGAACCAGAAAAGTTCAGGGACCTCCTTTGTCCATTAGGAGAGCCAGGGCTGCAGAAATTGCTCATTGATATGGTAGCATAAGACGCCTTTTACTTGGGCCCAGAAGCCTGGGAGAGCTCATCAGAGTGGGGGAATGTAATTGTTAGTGAGCATCCCCTTCCCAGACTCCACAGTACCCATCTGAAAATATAAACGTTTGTAAATATCAGTCTGTATTGTAAATCGTTTGTGAGTTAATCTGTATTCTGGGTAAATCCTACAGTCTTGCTTTGGCTTGTTTGGCATTGGTTTTAGACTGGAGTTGCTGGGTGGCTATGTAGACTCTTCATTCCGAGCTGGCTTTTAAGTTAAGCTGCACATTCCGGGACTGTGCTGCCCGTGTTCCTCGTCTATCCAGAGCTCTGTTAGTAGTAAACGCTTCCCTGTCTGTCCTTCACCTTGTTTTCTGACCTGGAGTCACACCCACACGGCTCTCTGACAGGACTCCTGACTTTCCGCACGTGCCTCTGGGTAAACCTCGTGCATTCCACCTCTGCTCTGTGACTCGTTTCTCTGCAGCTGCTATGTTTCAACGTCACGAACCTACTGCCGTACCTGCCTGTGGCCATCCCGGGTCTGGAAAAGGCTCCCTCTTGCCTAGATGTTGTCTCTTTCTTCCTAGGCTTATTCTGTCACTGTACTGAGGAGCACGGTCAAGCATTCTGAGTAAAAGGACCTGAGTGGTCGATTCCTGAGTCTTTCTGTCAGCAAGGCTCTATTCTATTCTCCCGTTTGAAGGATTGTCTGAGCAAAAAAAAGTAAGTAAATCATCATTTTCCATTAAAAAAATCATTTCCTGCAATTCTGAAGTCACACCAAGTGCTGATTTTAAATAGCAATGCTGCTGTGTGTCCTGGTGGGGCTGTTTTTCTCCCGAAGCTGAGGTTCTGCTCCTGATATTCTGAAGTTGCACAGTGGCATGCTTTACTGTGGGACCTGTGATAATCTGGATCTACATTCCCAAGCCTCTCTACGTTCCTAGAAGTTGTTCTGAAATGGTTGCTCCAGGTCAGACTTGTTTCTTCTGAACAGTTGTTTTCTTCCTCGAGTGCTGGGCTAGCTAGATGGCCTTCGTCCTTGACATCATCTCCTCCCTATATTCTGTCTTCAGGTATTTTGTTGTTCCAGAAAACACACTTGATTTTCTCCAAACCTTATTTTGAATCTTTTTATTTGAAGGATACATTTAATTTCTTAAGTTGGTTTTTGAATTTTTATGTTTTTAAGACCATTTGACTTTATTTGGGGACTGTAGTTACTCCACAGACTTCTCTGGATAGTTTTCCAGGTCTTTTGAAGTTATCGTCAAATGTCCTTTGAATGCCTTATCTTCTGTAGGCCTCTTTTCGTCTGTGAGATTATCTGGGCTCTGGCTTTCATGCCAGGCTCAGATTAGCAGTCCCATACCACTTTAAAGAAGTTCCTGAGAATCGAATCCAGCAGGAATCTCTGTGTATGAAGGTGAGAGCTATCGATGGCCATATGCAGGTACTGAATGAAGTCGTATGTTGAGTCAACATTCTACAAATTGGGATCTCTAGCTTCATCAAGGACAAAATTCCTTCCTGTTGTGTCTCATGCCCCACTCTTGGCCTTAGGCATACTCAGCAATGAGCAAATACAGACCCACAGCTGTGTTGATGATCTTGGCCTATTGCCTTCAGTGTAGGCCTTCACCCAGAATGCCCTGGGTACTGACGGGGAGGCTTCACTTACAGCTGTGGTAGGACTGGTTCCTGGCTCACCGTGGCTGCATTTGGAGCCTCACAGATTCCACGTTCTCTGCTTTGTTTCTAGCCCTCTCTGTCCCTTTCTTGTTTCCAAGTCCTGCATTTTTGGGGACACAGTGCCAAGCAAATGCTCTCATTTGTCACCAGGACCTCATCCAGACACCTATTTTGCTAGGTCAGTTACAGTACACTCACACATTGTGACAATATTGTCAGATTGACAGGAGCTGGAATCCTCTAGAAAACAAACCTCTGGGTCTGTCTGTGGGGCAGTTTCTGAGTTGGGTTAACAGAGGTGGAAAGAGCCACCTTAATATTCACGGCACCACTCCATGGCTGTGTCCTGGGGTCTGGGGATTCCATGGCTTGTGTTCTTGGGGTCTGGGGATTCCATGGCCTGTGTCCTTGGGTCTGGGGATTCCATGGCTGTGTCCTGGGGTCTGGGGATTCCATGGCCTGTGTCCTTGGGTCTGGGGATTCCATGGCTTGTGTTCTTGGGGTCTGGGGATTCCATGGCCTGTATCCTTGGGATCTGGACATTGAGAGAGGAGAGCATGTGGGGGACAGCAGTGTTCATCGGTGTCCTGAGTGCAGGATGACCAACTGTGGTGGTTACAACTGTGAGCCAAATGAACCCTTCTCCTTTTCTTCTGCTAGGTCTTGGTCATCAGGGGTTTAGTCACAGCAACAAGGACAGATGACTAAAATACCTCTGTATCCTGCTCTTTCTGTACTTTTTATTATTAAATCCTTATTTTAGGGGATTAGAGAATTGAACGATAAACCAAAAAAAAAAAATCATGCTGTCATTTTGAACCAAAAGTAACATTTGGGTCATTATGGAAAATACTTTTTATATGTGTTATTCAAGTCATGGCAGGGAAGTTCCTTAACTGTATTCTGTGTATGACCTTCAGAGCCCAGTGTGCAGAGAAGGCTGGATTCTGTCTCAAGCCAGCATGATCCGCTGACTGCTTCATTACAAAAAGTCATCAGGCATCATTGGACCTATCACAGCTTCTGCTTTATAAATAGGAATTGAGAACAAATCTGTCATGTTGTGCCAGACTTATTCTCCCGGCTGTTGTGATTGTAGCTTCTGAAATACAGTTCTCACCCCACAGTTGCTTCAGAAGGCAGAATGAAAGCAGAAAGTTAATTAAGAGTGTTTGTGACACGGGGTTCAGTTTTGTTCTATTTATGAGGAAGCCGTGTTTCTTATTCTAGAAAGAGGAGGCCGAGATGTGTGAAGGAAGCTTCTCTGCCTGCATCTGCACCTGCCCGTCTGCTCTATATCACTTCCTTTTCCTCTATTTCCATCTTTATTTTGGGGACAGTCTGGTTATTTCTGTCAAGCTAGTGTAGGAACAAAGGGGAAGAACAAGTTTGTCTTACTGTTCACTCGGTTGTTGGGAGGACCCCAGTTCTTCCAAGTAGCTGCTGTGTGTGTTGGCAGAAACCTTCCTATTCTTCACCCTGCAGTAAGCTGGGCTTGTGAGCATGGGTGTCTAAGGCCCTGGTTTCTCTGAGTTCATGAGACCCTCCTAGGTCGTGGTTACTGTAAGGTCTGGGTTCCACTCTCAGCCAGACTCCTCACCAGGAATACTTTAGTCTCAAAGGCAAACACATAACAGGCCGGGAAGATACGACTATGGTCTGTGCTACATTGTGTATGTATTTTCATTGAACATTTTTGTTTTCTTTGTTTATAGCCCTTAAACCCCACATTCTAGGTATGTGTGTGAGGAGAGGTGAAATATAGTAAAGATGTTCCCTAAACCTACAGGGAGCATTGGGGGTGGGAGGTATAAGGAAGAATAGAAGTCTTTTGTTATTTTTAGCAAAAGAAAAAAAATGCCTGTCACTGTTACTAGAGCAGACTTTCACATGTCAACTGAGCCTGAGCTTTCAGGGTATTCCTTCTTTTTACATCTATTTCTATTAAAATGATGCAGAAACTAGTGTGTGTTGTTCCAGCAGTTAGGAAACAGAGGCAGGAGGATTTTAAGTTTGAAACCAGTATGGGCTACAGAGCCGGTTCTAGGAAGTTCAGGCTAGACAGTGAGGCCCTGACTCAAAAAGCCAAAGTTCTGGATAAATAAATACATAAATATTAGGGTACCAAACGAATGAAGAAATTTAGGAAATCTTAAGTATATTGTCACCGACTCTTATTCTATATGGATTAGAAAAATACTAGGAAATTTAATCAGAAAAGTGGTTTGTTCTTCTAGGTTTGATAGACAAGAGATCAGTTCTGAGCAAATTCTCGTTTCCTTGATTTGTTTAACCTCTTATCACCACGTTCTTAGGGAGCAAGCAAGGCAATCTGCTGTGAGAACTGGCTGCCTGTTTCTCCTTTTATTTTTAATTATTTTTAAATAGGACACAAATGAGCTTCATTGTGCTATCTTCATACACCATTGCCCTTTGTGTTTGCCTCCCATTACCTGCCCTTGTCAGCCTCCTCCCCCACTGGTCCCCTTCCTTCCTGCACAGAACTCCCTCCTACTTCTACGTAGAGGTAAATAGATGGAGGTAGGTAGGTAAGTAGATAGATATGGTTATATAGATGTATTGCTTGGTAAATGTCTCAGTCAGTAAAGTGCTAACCATGCAAGCATGGAAACTAAGTTTTTCTGTATGGCTAAACTAAAATTCCTATGTGTACATACCCCATATTTTCTCCCCCCTCCCCCACATTTTCTTTATCCATTCATCTGCTGGTGGGAATCTAGACTGATTCCATATCACTAGCCCACTTCCTCGCTGTTTAGCTTGTCTAACAAGACTGTATACATAGAAACCTTGGAGGAATCTATAAAACTTCATGCAAGTCCCTACAGATTACAAGTGGTTTCAGCAGGTGTAGGAAGATGGACATTAAAAGCATAATTGCATTTATGATGCTTTAAAAATAAACTCCCTAAATGCCTGTATAATGAAATATGGAGGGCATACTGCAAAAAAGCAAACACTGAGAGAGAAGGAAGCACAGTAGGGGCTGGAAGGCAGCATAGCACACGTGAGCATTCTCTTTAAGCAGGTAACAAACTTAATGTCATACCCCTGAGCTAGGAAGATTCACTTATACATAATGGATTTCATTTTGGCTTGTATCTCTTACAAGAAAACCTTAAGATCACATGTTTGGTTTCTTTGATTTGTTTTGTTTTTTGCAACTCTTTTTTTTTGGGGTTTTTTGAGACAGGGTTTCTCTGTGGTTTTGGAGCCTGTCCTGGCACTAGCTCTTGTAGACCAGGCTGGTCTCGAACTCACAGAGGTCCGCCTGCCTCTGCCTCCCGAGTGCTGGGATTAAAGACATGCGCCACCACCGCCCGGCTTTTTTTGCAACTCTTGAGTTGACCAGGGACATAATTTTCCCACAAAGTACTTTAAATTTCTTTCCATTAAAAATAACGTCTCTGCTGTAATAATTCCTAGAGCAACTTCTGTGTGTCAGTTTACATGCTGAGTGCTTCCAGCCCGTCTGTCACCTCCCCAGCCACCTTAGAGGGCTGTGCTCCTGTTCTCCTGTGGCAGCTGACAAATGCCAACACCCAGAGGATTTCTGAATCCTTTCAGCATGGTCAATGAAGGCCACTGCCTTCTGTGGTTCATTGCTCCACGACCTTGCACGGGCACGAGAGGATTCTGGAACACAGATATGGTCAGTGAAGGCCAGCATCTGCTGTGATTAATTGTCCCATGACCTTCCACACATCACGAGAGGATACTGGGCCCAGACATGGTCAGTGAAGGCCAGCATCTGCTGTGGTTCATTGTTCTATGACCTTCTGCAGTCACAGGAGAATAATGGTCCCCAGATATGGTCGGCGAAGGCCAACATCTGCTCTGGTCCATTGTACCATGACCTTCCATACATCACTAGAGGATCTTGGGGCCATTATACTTCCATATGAGTTATTTGACCAGAGAAAACTAGTCTCTGAAAAACCATTGCAATCTTCATATTCCCTTCATTCCCCACTGCCCTGCCAGACTCTGTTTGGCACATTCACAGTCTG